CATTTCTATAGTTTAATTACTTTGCTGGATTACTTTGTGGATACTCACAGACAAACCTGTACAAGTCTTGTGTATTAGCATTACCTATTACCAACTAACGGATGAGCCGAGAACAGAATATTCACACCACAAACAATGTACACAACGGTGTAGCTATTTTGGCACACACACAAGGCTAACAGTCAGTTAAGAGGACACGTACTAGTGCAACACATTACGTTGCTCTACTATGAAGGTAAAAAGGGTTTGTTTCTTGGCCAGTGCAAACAGAGAATTCTCATTCATGGGCGACAGGCACACGCCCCCAGAATACAAGCATCACTGAAAGGCAGAGTTATGTTTTGAATATCATACATGCAGGCACAAAGAAGTAAAATTTATTTTATAACTATGACAAGCCTTAAGGAAAAAGCCTAGCGATTACAACTTTGAAGTTGTAATATATGAGGATTTTCTCTACAGATGGTTACAGATGGCTGGGATACCCATCACTTGCAAGCCAAACCCATAGGCAGTCATTTGCCTTTTTAGTTCTGGCTAATTCCAGCTACCATAGAAAGCATTAACTGAACCAATAGAGGGAAAATATAGGTGACTGAAATGCTAATTCATGAGCAAAGCTTTCTATAATGCCAAAAAGTTGTCAAAGGAATTTTTAGTTTAGGTAAGGTCAGTAAAATACATGGAAAATATCATAGTTCAGTCCAAAATATCTTTCAAGTACAATTTCCATGCTGATGAAAAGCAGAAGTTATGACACGTGAGTAGTTTTGAAATCTCCCTTTCCCTTCCCTAAAGTGAAAAAAAAAAAAAAAAAAAAAAGAGATAACGAAAATTGTGGGCTTAAAAAAAAAAAAAAAGTGGCTAGATCTTGTAGATCTTGGCCACTGTCCAATGTTCAACATTTCCTTTGGGATTCCAAATATTTGATTACAATTAATGACAACTGTTCACATAGGACTGTTGAAACAATGTATGTGTTTTAACGTCTGCTTCTCAGTAACACTATTGGGATAGCTTCAATAGCCACAAAAAGCAGGATAATAATTTTTGTTTCTGATATTTCCATATTGATAAGATTGTTGCAAAACTCTCAGCAAGTAACTAAAGCACATGGAGTGACTAAAGGGTATTAGTAAGCAAGCATTAATAAAAAAACCCATTTGACTTCTGAATATTTTATTTTAAAATGAGGTTATTTTTAGGAAATTATTTGTAAGAACATTTTTTTTTTTGTGCCTCAGTAAGGATTGTTGTTTCTCATCCTCAGTCTTGCAAAGGCTTTGATAGTCAGGTTAAGCCTCAGGGGAGATGTAAGTTCATGTACTGTCATAGTATTTAACGGCTTAATTTTAAATGAACACTGTAATTTGAGTTTGTTCTTTAAGGCAAAAGCTACCTGAACTTTCTGATCGCATTTCTTTTGGTAGCATGTTCAGCAGTAATGAAAGCAAAGATAATCAGGAACAAAAGGGTTTTTAGAGGAGATGTCGCATAGAAGAGCACTGCATAGTACAATCAGACTGGAAATTTAGCTGTAATGAGTTGAGATGCCAAAAAAAAAAAAAAAAGGAGATGAGTGTAAACCTTATGAGGTACCCATGCCCTCACTTCAGACATGACATTTAGTTACAGTCTGGAGTACGTCGCACAGGAAGAGC